TTGCAGCCAAGCCCCTCTCTGACCAATGACTCCTGTCAGGAATTTCTACTTCTGTGTATGGATGCTGCTGACATTTGGAACTTAAATGGAAGAATGATAATTTATCACTGTTAAGTGTCATCTTGTTACTTTTTGCCTGCTGGTTCAGACCGTCAAGACCAGCTTAGATGGCAATTCAGTTCTTTACTATATCAGCTTTTCTTTCAAAATTTGTATAACTTTAAACTGTAATAAGCATTCCTTTTTATTTACTTGTCCAGACTGATAAAGCTTAATAGGACAGGACCAAGGCTGGAGCTCTGTGACAGGTGAATGAAGACCTCCTTCATAATTGATATCAATTTAGTAGTCAATAATCTTGGGAAATGGCTGTTCAACTAGCTTGCAGGTTCACTTAATTGCAGTAAATTTACTATCAAGGCCATAACATAAAGCATATGGAGTCCTTTGCAAACCATAGTATACCACAATGTGTCCATTACCAGTAGCAGTCTTTTTACTATTCTTCACCCCTGACAATCCTCTCTCTTCTCCATGACCTTTCATTAGCTGTCCTCGATGCCTAGAATTCACTTCCTCCTCACCTCTTCTTCATGGATCCCTCACATTCTTTGAAATTCAGCTCAAGCCCTCTCTTCTACATGAAGTCTTTCTTAATCCTCCCAACTGCTAGAATTCTTCATCTCAAACTAGTCTACATTCATTTCCTAAGTGGCTGTGCATCATCTCCTCGTTAGAAGGTAAACTCCTCGGCAACAATCGACTGTTTCATTTCTGTCTTTGTATTTCCAGTGCCCGTGGTTGCTGACTGACTGGTTGATCCATTACTATTAGCCAGCTCACATGTATCCAATATTTCCTTTAGGATATAATGGAAGGCTTTGACAAATGTACTGAAATTAGGACATACTGTTTATGTCAAACAGAGAATTAGAATTTTAGGGCAGAAAGGGATGTGAGAGAGACTTTTCAGCCGACTACTTTTAAATGGAGATGACAATAAAAGTAATAGCTAACATTTAACTTTAGGTTTTGTGAAATGGGAAGAATAGAGAAGGGAGGAAGAGAATAAGCATTTAAGCATTTATACAGCACCTACTATGTGCCAGGAACCGTGCTAAGTTCTGAGATAATTTTATATCTCATTTGATCCTTACAGCAGCCCTGTGAGGCAAGTGCTGTGGTTATCTCCATTTTACAGCTGGGGAAATGGAGGCAAACAGAAGTTAAATGACTTGCTCAGGGTCACACAGCTAGTAAATGTCAGAGGCTAGATTTGAACTCAGGTCTTCCTGATTCCAGGCTCAGCACTTTATCTTTGGTGCCACTTCACTGCCTAAACATAAAAGTTATCTTGTATCCTCACATCTTTGCAAGGTATGTGCTATTATTATTCCCATTTTACAGAAGAAGAAACTGAGATTGAGAGAAGCTAAATAACTTGTCCAAGGTCACACAGCTAGGAGGTATCTGGGGCAGGATTTGAACTTAGGTCTTCTTGATTCCAAGTATAACTATCCACTACACCATCTACCTCCTCTTACAATAAAGCTGGTGCAGAGAGATTGAGTTAGTTGCCTAGAGACACCCAGCTAGTTATTGATAAAGACTAGAGCTCATTTTTTCTGATATTTAGGGCAGTAATCTTTCCCATTACACCATGCTTGCTAGCTTACAGCTCCCATTTCTACTCTGTGCCTTATCCTTCCATTTGTCAACCTCATGGTGATTTTGGTTCTCATTTACTTCCTAGGTTGGGGGTAAGGGGGTGGGGAGTCTCTTTTTAATTTCTGGTATCCTTCCTAGATTATTTCTTCCTTCTGTCTAGGAATTCTTTATTCTCTCTAATAAGCCAGAGCACAAAGAGAAATTCCTTCAACCCTTTCTCATTCTGTCCTGGTAGGAAAACTACTTTGCATTTATGGCATCCCTAATGATGAGTGCTTCAGCCAGCAAATGCACTATCCATCTTCACCCTGCATGTCATTACTATACATCAGCAGAGTGTTGAGGCAAGTTACATGACTCTGTGATTTACTCTGGAACCAAACTACCTGTTCACCACTGGATTCTTAATCTTGTTTCTCCCGCAACGAGTCTAACAACAGAGTTCCTGGCAGACACCATGTTCTCACCCGTACTTAAAAAACAAACAACCAGCAAAAGTAGCCAGAGCCACCACTGCCCCCTTCTACAAACACTGGGAGTTATGAGAATGGCAGGTTCCCCTCCATGCCCTCTTTCTTTGCCTTGGGGCATGCTCCCTTCTTGGGATGCTAGCTAGGAAAGCTCAGGACTATATTCAAGGCAGAGTTTGGGTCAGGATCTGGGGGGTAGGAGGAGAGGAATCGATGCTCACCCCTCCTTGCATTAAGGAAAGGCAGTTATGACAACAGAAACTTTCCAATAACAACCTTCTTTGGGGAAGATGACCACAGGAGAGAAAGGTTTCTTTAAAGTAAAGCGATGCAACTACATAAATACAATGATGTAACCATTTTTCATAAGATTCTTTTCTATTTTTATCTTGACCCCTGTGTGGCTGTGGTATTGTACTTTCATTTATTTATGAGATGAAATGGGACTTCAGGATCTCATCTCATCTGATGTTAGATCTCAGGTTTCCTCTTCATGACTACCACCCAAGGGAGAGAGGAGAGGATGATTTCTCCAGGAAAACTCTGCTCACCGCCCCACAAACTTTTGACCTTTCACTGCATCATGCTCTCTGACTTTGTCGGTGGTCTCCTTTTCTCCTGTGTCAACTACAATCTGACCTATACAACTAGTTTAAGTACACAACTAAATTTTATTACAATGAGAGGAAAATTCAGGCTACAGACCTTATACATTTAAGGCTGAATGCAGATATGGTTTGTATTACTCACTTTGCTTTACCAAATAGTCCCTTCTAGGCACACCCTATGATGATTCCTTTTTAAGTGATAGGCTCCTTTAGATGGTGATCTGTGGTTAGCATTTTTCCTTGTAGCATTATGGCTTTTGTAGCTAACCCAAACTACAGTTATCCACATTATGGTGAGTTGCAGGGGTGGTGCCCCTGCAATCTAGAAATTCTGCATAGAAATTTTTGGCCCTCCCTTCATACCAGAGAAGTCTGAATTTTTTTTTCTTTTTCTTTTCTGGGTTGTTTACAGTACCTTATTATAAAATTTGGGTTGATATTATATAGTACTATACATATATTTTATGCATTTCTGAGTTTCTAAACTATGTCATCTGCTGGCCTTTTGCATGTTATCTGAGGCTTCTGCAAAACTCCCCCCAAATTCCCATTTAATTTCTCACGCCAACCCACAATATATCGAAACTATGATGGGGAAAGTCACTATGTGGTAGGGATAACTGTAATTATACAATATGTCCCAAAAGTCTTAGTATACCTTAAACCTTATTAAATCTTAAATTAAATAAGCTTATACAGGCATTTTTAAGCTTATGAAAGCTTAAAACAGCACTAAAACTTTTGGGACACTGTGTAATTTTATAGAATTACAAAAATCACAGATTTATAAGGGATCTCAGAGTCCACTCAATCCAATTCACCTATGAACAAGAAAAAAAGAATTTTCTCTATTGCAATGGTCTCAAACCCAATTAGAAAGGGATCCCCTATGAGTCACAGATTGACTTAGAAAACTACAAATTCATGCCCTCTCTGTTTTACTATATTTTTATTTATTTTGCTAAATAGCTCTCAAACGGTGGTACAGTGGGTAGACACTGGATTCGGGAATACTTGAGTTCAAATCTAGCTTCCATCACTTACTAGCTGTGTCCTCCCAAGCAAGTCACTCAACCTATGTCACCTCCAGTTTCCTCATCTGTAAAATGGGGATAATCATAGCACCTATCTCCCTGGTTTGTCGTGAGGATCAAATCAGATAATATTTGTAAAGTATTTAGGACGCTAACAGATGAGATAACATTTTTAACATGCTGGCACATAATAAGAACTTCATAAATGTTAGCTACTATTATTAATCCGGTTTGGCAGCACTTGGGAGTGTTGGCAGCCATGTGCCACTCTGGCCATGTGGTTGACACCCCTGCTCAATAGCGTACCCAACAATCACTCATTTAGCCTCTTCCAAAAGATATTCAATGAAGGGGAACCCACGGTCTCCTGAGGCAGCCTGTTCCACATTTAGATATTGCTACTTCTTAGCAATTTTTTCTTGCATCAAGCCTGAATTTTCCTTCTTACCATGTCTACCCATTGCTCCTCGTTCTGCCTCCTGAGGCCAAGCACAAAATAGCCCTTCAGATACTTGAAGCAAGGCATCATGTGCCCTCTCTATAGCTTCTTCCCCAGTTTCCTTTACCTCACCCTTACGTGGCATGATGAAGACCCTTTGCCATCCTAGTTGTTCTTTGCTGGACACCTTCCACTTTATCAAGATCCTTCCACAATTGAACACACCACCCAGATGCAGTCTGACAGTGCTGCTATATGCTTGCCTGACCACCTTCCTCCTTCTAGTCACACCCAAGACTACATTCACCTTTTTGGCTGCCATAGTACCCTGCTGAAATTCACAGAAAGCTGTACTCTATCTTGTCTCCCTTTCAATTCACTTAAAAGGAAACAAAATAGGTAATGGCAAAAGAAAATGGTAACAACATTCTGCTACCCTGGGGAAAAGAGGGGAAATTCCTCATTTTTGCCAGTACAGAACTTTTTGACCCAGAAACTATTACAAGCCAAAATCTAGGCTACTATTGGCAAAAGAAAAGGGGTGGGTGGGATCACGTAGCAGACACAACCAACAAGCCAACATATTTTCTCTTTTGTACCATGGGGCACACCATGTAAGACTTATTCAATTTTCTCATTGTGGAAAAGACATGATGTTTTGGTCTCTGAGAAAAAAAAACATACAACTTTTCAAATCCAAATTCAGTATTGTGAGCCTTGTCTATAACAATAATTTTTATTTTAATATTTAAAAAAATTCTTAAATCAACAGAAGGCTTACCTATCACTTTTCCTAGAAAGAGAGACTTAGGAGAATTGAACAGTGTGTCGGATGAACTTGGCAGGCTGTAGCTCACTGGAGAGTAATGATCAAGCTGTGGGAAAAGAAGAAAAAAAAGCAAGAGAGACTTTTAAAAGAGTGTGTGGCTATCTTGCTCTGAAATCAAGTCTTCCTGGGGGGATTACATCGCTGTTTAAATCTTGGAAACCGGATGCTCTCATTTCACCTGTGTGTCTCCTTAAGACTGGAGCTCAAGCTATTGTTTTGCCTGGGTAAATAAAAAATGGCTTCAATTTACTCATTATCTATCCCTGGACTTGGCAGATGAATTCCTTCCTCACTAGTTTCTGGCACTTGTTCTTGTCAATGGGGTTAGACTAGATTGATAAAGTGTCCGATATTTGGTTCTGAGACAGAAAACACTTTGCCTACAATACTGGAAACATGGTCTTCTTTTAGGAACCTTGCCAAATATGGTTCCCTCTGGCTTTTTTATATCATTAGCATTCAAAGCATTACCAAAGTATTTAGACCTAATAATCATTTTCAAGTATTTAGTCTCACAGAGCGAGAGGAGCTGGGAAACATATTCTTGGTGATGAGAACTGGAGTGATGCAATTTTCCAGAACATAATGTGGTAGGGATGGGGAAATGGAGGAAAAAAGAAGTCACTTCCCCTTTACCTGGCCTTGCTATTTTGGAGGCAGGAATAGGTTAGAGGCCAAGGAAGGAAAAGAAAAAAAAACTTGGAAAATCCAACTTTAGGGAGAAGATAGAAGATAAATAAAAATTCCCCTTGGGAAAGCATTCATATCTCCCAAGGAAAAATTCAGCTGCTGTTATCATCGGATCAAAGGATGGCATCTTTCATTGTACCACTCATTTGACACATCATATATGGCCTCCTATTGCTAGTTATCTTTTTATATGTAAATGCTTTGCCTCATATAGCTCTCAGAGGCAGATAAGACGTCTTACATTTTTCATCTTCTTGTGGAAAACATGAAATAGGACGGTTGTTTTTTTTTTCCTACTAGTTGGATGCTTTTTGACAAGTCATTGCCTGTCTGGCCTCAGTTTCCTCATCTGCAAAATGAGAAGGCTGGAGTATATGCCCTCCAAGGCCCCTTCCATTCTAGATATATGAATTCATGATTGTTTCATTCTTAAATTTATGGTTTTATATACATTGGCTAAGATAAAGAAGAGGTTTTGATCATAAGCTTCATGTTTTCAGAACATTAGTTGGCCTCTTCCTCCACCAAGTCCCTCATCATAAAAGAAGGTAAATCTTGACTTCTGAGGGCCTAGCCATGGAGCTCAGGCAGGTCTTACCATACCGGAAAGGTTTCAAGAATGATCTTGGTAACGCTTTCTGAAAAGCAGCCCAGCTAAGTAAGGATAGGTTGATTACCAGTAAGGAGCATGATGGGGTGGGGTGGAGGATATGTGGTGAATTCTTTGGTCATGGCAACCCGTGAAACAAAGAAAGATATTAATGGCTTTTTAGTCCTGGGTGGTCCCCACTGGTTTCTAAAGTGAAAGTGCCAGGGTGGTGGAAAAGGGGCAAGAGTGGGTTAAGATTCACAAACTTCCACTGGGGCTGCTAATGCTGTAAATGTAAACTCTGTCTAATTACCAATAAATGGATATATACTCCTAAAATGTGTCCTGCTCCACTTCATCAGTCTGGTGAATGAGGCCTGTGGACCCCTTCAGAAAATCATGATTTTAAATCCACAGATAAAATCCACAGGCTTACAAAGGCAAATAATTTTTATTGAAATATGGTTGTCAAAATATTTTAAAAATAACTTTCCAGATCTCTTGAAGTCTATCTACAAGCCCTTGGGAATGTGGACTCCAAGTTAATAAACCCTGTACTGGAAGAACAAATCATATCAATCTTGACATTCTTGCTATAAATGAAAACAGAAGAAGCAAGTTGAAACTAAATTGAAGAATGCCTCTCAGGCTCTCCTTGGAGAGAAAAACAAAGGAAGTAGAAGGAAGAGTTTTATTGTATGCTCAAAGGCAACACCAAAAATCATTTGATGGTGTATTTGATAATTTTGTATTGTAGTGCTCAAGATATCCCAGATAGACTTGGATATTTCCCTGAAGGACACTGTGAGACTGAATGCTGTGTATATGAAAAGAGATAAGACTCCTAGAGTGCCAGAAGGCTTTGGAGACGCTAGCAGAGGCTGCACCCAAGGCTGTGGAACACCCTATGTACATAGAATGAGTGAACTAAACACAGAAGCAAGCCTTTCTTGGCTAGAACTGCTACTCCAGAGGCCTGACTTACTAGCTATGTTCCACTGGACAAGACACTTAACCAATGCTGCCTCAGTTTCCCTATCTATAAAATGTGAATAATAATAATAGCACCTACCACACAAGGTTGTTGTGAAGATAAAATGAGATATTTGTAAAGCTCTTTGCAAACCTTAAGGTGCTACATAAATGCTAGCTATTGTTATTATAGATACAACCCACGAAGCAGAAATATACTGAGAGCCAAACTATCTCTGCTGTCAGTCAGGGTTTAGATAAATAAATCTATAAGGATCCTAATGGTCAGCCAGTATCAGCTACTAACTGAGTAATAAGAGCAGAGATTAGTCTGTGATAAAGGAGCTAGACCCATCGGAAAAGTCACTAACTTATGTTATTATAGGTGATTCTGAAGAATAGTTACACATGTATTCAGGGAACAAGTTAAGAAGTCAACAGACATTTTTCAAGCTTCTACTATGTTCCAAGTATTGTGCAGAGAGCTGGAAATACAAAGAAAGGCAAAAAAAATAGTACCTACTTTCAGGGGACTCACAGTCTAAAGGGAGAGACAACATGAAAACAAATATGTACAAATAGGAAATATACATATTACTTATAATTTCAGAGGGAAGGTACTAAGATTAAGGGGGAGCAAGAAAGGCTTGTTGAAGATGATGGAATTTTAGCTGAGATTTGAAGGAAGTCAGGGAAGCCAGGAGGTGGAGATGAGGAGTGGGAGCATTCTAGACCTGTAGGAACAGCCGGTGAAAATGCAGAGTCCAGAGCTAGGGTGTCTTTTGTGAGGAATGTTAAGGAGGCCAGCATCAGCACATCATAGAGGACGTGGAGGGAAGCAGGTGTACTGAGACTGTAAAGATAGGAGGAGGCCAGGTTGTAAAGGGCTTTAAAAGCCAAACAGAGGCGTGCCTTGTAGCCAACTGTCTATTTATTACTGCACATGTTAAAATTACTGTAGGTTTGAGTGTACTTATTTTTTTTTTGCTATGTTGATTAGACTATACACTATGTTATACTTATGGCGTGACAATGTCTTCTTTGTTCATTGTTTCTGCATGATATGCTAAAATTAATAGCTAGACCATACATTTTATACAGGCCCATGGATAGTATTGTTATTATAGCTAGTTAGCCTTGTTTTGTTAGCTAGCTGCACTTTGTTTGCTCTGGCATTTGTAATTATTTGCTATAAACTCTAGATATGAAAGTACACTTAAGGAGTTCTTGTACTATGTCTTATATGTACCTTAGGCATATTGTCACAGAAGGCTCTCTCAGACGATGCTTTGTTAAGTGCCATGTCTATTGCATATACTGTTAATGTACATTTGTTTTCTTTTTGTAGGTAGGTTACCTAGGACACCAGGAAAATCAGCTTTGTTGTTTAAAATGCTGATGTTGTATTCCTGCTACAGAGTTTTGTGTTATCCCAGCTGATCTTTTGAAAGGAAGTGCAAAAAACTTCAGCTCAGGGGAGGGATATAGCTTCACCTTTGCCTGGGGGAAATAAGGAGGTTGGGTGGTTCCCAGAAGAACAGATCTCTGAAGGACACACTATATTCTGTATATATGGAGAGAGACGTGACTCTTGATTGGTGGAGAGAGCCCAAGAAGACTGCTAAGAGGGAGAAGGTGGGAGGGGAGAAGAGGTAAGGCAAGTACAGTGAATAGCTAATGGAAACCCCCAGAGATAAATGAAGGTAGAAAATGCTGACACCCCAGTAAGTCCCTTGAATCCCAGCATCTGCATCTCCAGAGACCCCCTAAAAGTCCAGTCCTTGGGTAAGAGATTTTTCTGCTTACTTGAGCTAAGATTTCATCTCACTTCCAAGTCACAGACCTCCCCCAACCTTGGCACTTGCCAAGTGGAAAAAGATGAAAGACAAATGAAACACTGTTTAGACTATAAACTAATTTATAAAATCTTATAAAGAAGGAATATTTTGAACACTACATCATTTCATAAAACAGAGAGAAGCAACAGAGAGCAAAGCCACCTAAAAGAAAGCTTAGCAAGAGCTGCAATTAAGCACAGCCATCCTGAGGGTTATTAAGGATGAACATGGAGGGGTTTAAACAAACAGTAGAAAAATGGAAAAGATCTGTAAAGATATTTATAATTATTTTCACCATCAAGAAGTAGGACTATATTACATGGATTCTAACAACACAGTCCTGGAAGGTCCTTTGAGAACAGTGCTTCTTAAATTGTGGGTCATGAAAAATTTGGCACCAGTAAAAGTAATGAATCTGAAGTGTATCTGGCAGTGCTTGCCCATGCTTCATCACACAACTTCACAACAGTTTTAGTGCTGAGCACAAAGCATGCACACTTTGCACTGCCCATACCCTCAGGCCACACTATGCTAATGAATGCTGCCTGAAAGTAAAAAGGGGTCATGAGTGGAAAATGTTTAAGAAGCTCTCTTTTAGAGGAAGGTAGAATGTCACCAAAGAAAAAAGATAGCAAAAAAGGGTGAGTTAAACCAAGTATACAGAGAAGAGGACTAAGCTAGTGCCCAAAACATGAAAGAAATCTCAGATCTTATTAATATAAAAAAGGAGACCAAGAGATTATCAACAGCTATTTTATATACTTAACTATCTTTTTAATAAGAATTTTTAATGAGAATTTTTAAATTTTTTAGGAGAATAATCTATACATACATTTAGGGGATCCTCACTGAGGTCATTAGTAGGAAACAGGCGGACTTTTGCAAGTGATCTTCCTCAATAAGACACAATTTTATTATCACATTATTGATTAAAAATGGCAGCTAGGTGGTACAGTG